ATATAATTCAATAAATTTTAGCTTCTGAGGATATTTAAATATTAAAATTAGCATGTGTATTAATTATATCTACATTATACATATCATCATACAATGTAGACGTCAATATCTACATCAGTGTTTCTCAAACCTCCTAATGCTGTGACCCTGTTCTTCATGCCTCCATGATGCCCAACTATAAAATTATCTTCCTTGCTACTTTGTAACTGTAATTTTGATAGTGTTATAAATAGCAATGTCAACATCTGATATACAGGATAGTCTTGGGTGACCCCTGTGAAAATGTCATTTGACTTCCCCCCACCCCAAAACAGTCATGACCCACAGGTTGAGAACCACTGATCTATTTATTAACCTAATTAATAATATTGATAGATTCTGGGTTTATGACTTAAATCAAATTCTCAGAACTTTTTTAGCAATGGTGAGAAAGCATAAAAAATACTGAAGCCCCTACTGAATCTTTAATATAACTATAATAAATTTGAATTTTATGAATGGTCCTTTAGCAATTAATTCTTTTATAAAATAGATAATTATATTCCTTCTTGATCTATCCAGCTACTTATGTAACTTCACATTTAAAAAGGATGCCGTTCAGTTTTTCAGATAGTTTACACAAGTTGGCCAGTAGAAATTATTTTGGAAACCACAACAGGCTAATAATCACAACCCCACCCTTCCATTCCAAAGGTCACAATGTAAGTGCTGTCACTATTATTTTTTTAACCTCTTACAGCTGGTTTCCCAAGAGCCCTTTCTCTCTGAGCTGGTGGTCTTCTTCAAGTCAGCACTAACATCCTGAGGGCAAGGGTTTCTGTATAAACTATTAGCTTAGCAGACTTAAAAAGCCAATAAACTCTGTGCACACCCATCTTCATGGTACTATCTCTTTCCTGAAGAATTCCAGAAGAATCTGCCGTTCTTTGAGTGTACAAAGTTGACCTTTCTTGTTCCATCTTATGTTGCATTTTCTATCTTCCCTTTGACTTGAACACATAAAAGCAAAGTAATATCCAATTTCCAAGTACTGAGTTTTAGCTAGTCATTACAAAATAAAACTAAGTTGGAAATATACACATAAAAATGATGATGGTCTTATTACCCAGTATCACATGAAACAAAAGCTATCAGTTGCTTCAGCTTCATGGGAATTGTTTTTATTTATATCAACTACTTGGCCTTCTGAGAAAAAAGTCTACTTTTCTACAATTTTATCATTCATGTGCCCACCACATGGGCCTGCAGCATTTTAACTGCATGCAGATGTGCTTTTCCATATACCTTTCTTAATTGACAGACAATACTTTGCAGCTCATGGTAAAGGGAAAGCAAAACTTGTTTTTGTTTAAGTATTAAAAACTTATCCAACAAGCATCAGCCCTGACATAGTAGTGAATACTACATGCTCAGTCAATGTTTGTTGAATAATGGACAATTCATTTTACTCCTGATTACCAACTCCATTGCAAATCTATTCTTAGCAATCACATAACAATAGCATACCTTGGGTACCTGAATTTCCAAAGCCATCAATATTCTATCTTTTTTTTTCTATTTAAAGTTTTTGCCTTTGACATTTTGCTGTTAGCACAAATAAAAGAACCATACACATGTGAAAGTCTGAAAATTTTAGCATTACATAATTGTACAAGATAATTCATCTTTAAATATTAAGTTTAGTCAACTGAATGAGGAAAGTATATAGAGCTGCTCACTTTCATTTACAGAGCAGATCAATAAAATTCCAAATGCAGTAAGATTATGTTTTCCCAGCCGGGCGTTGGTGGCATACGCCTTTAATCCCAGTATTCGGGAAGCAGAGGCCTGTGAGTTCAAGGCCAGCCTAGCTGTCTCAACAACTGAAAAACCCTCGCTAAAAAAAAAAAAAAAAAAAAAAAAAAAAAAAAAAAACCTTTTCCAATGAATATTAATTAGCCTGTTAGAATGAACTACAATTTGGATTTTCTTAGACAAGGTAAATGTCAAATGCATTATACTTTAAAAATGTACTGTTCTACAATAAATACAACTTCTGATTTTGAACAGTTCAACAAAGTCAAATATTAGTCCAAATTAACAGAAATGCAAAGCAATATGAAATGAAGGCCAATATAAACATATTACATCTCAGTTTTTCATTCTGCTGTCATAAGGAGGTTTTAATGAAGCCCTCTACCTACAACTGTTAGATATCAAACTATCACACATAAAAGTTTGCAACTACTTGAACTGACAGTTAAACTAAGAAAACACAAGAATGTTCTTTTATCATGTAGATGAATTAAACTTTAACCTTTCATTTTGTGTTAGAATATAAGGTAGAATTCTAGGGTCTCCCAGTGCATCTATCATGTGTAGAGGGGACAAAAGCCTACAACTTTTCAGTCATTTTTCAGCTTCTATTCATATAGTTTCTGACTTTCCAGAATTCGGGATATGCATGAAAATGGCAATAACAGCAACTAGGGGACGGGGCAAATATATTTTCATCAAAACATTTATTATTGTTGCTGTTAATTATTATTGAGGCAAAAGCAAGCAAACAACCCAAGTCTAGAACACATTAAAAGTGAAGGAAGCAGAAGCAGATTTGCTCAGGTCTCTTGTCCTCACCAAACTTCACTCTTCTAATATCTACACTTATTCTTTGCACCTCCGGGGGAAAAAAAAAACCTGGCAAAAGCAACTTTTCTGCTTGCCATTGGATTTCAACTGGTTTTGTTGTTGTTGTTGTTTGTTTTTGAAGTCAGCAAAGACACAGATTTTTTAAACCGTTTTGGGAACATTGTTAGCCACTAAAATGTACAAGCAGGCCTTAATCTCAGCAGTTGGATATCTGTGAGTTCAATGCCAGCCTGGTCTGCAAAGCAAGTTTCAGGACAGCCAGGGCTGTTACACAGAGAAACCCTGTCTCAAAACAAAACAAAACAAAACAAAACAAAACAATGCATAGTGGTTTTGTAGTGTGTATTTTCTCAGAATAGAGAACAATATGACTTCAGTCTGAATTAACTAATACTGGGGAGGCTAAGAAGACACACACCTGTGTGTACTGTTACCTGAATATTGAAATTCTCACAGTTTATTTTCAGAGTCCTTGCCTGGAAACATGAAAGACTAAAGCCTTTGCCTTTTAATGTCAAAGTAAATAGGTGGTAAATATTTTAAAGTGTTCCCTTATTCAGAGGTATTATTGATTTTTGCTTTTCTTTTCACAGGGTAGGGATAGGATGCTGACTCTGATGTAATAATTTTCTCAGAGTCTGCTTCTGATTTAGCATTGAAGATCACAGTCAGCATTGTTCAGATAATTATGTTACGTTAAACAAAGCTCTACCCACACAAAACAGCCTAACAGTCAGTTTCAGTGGTGTATGTCCTTCAGTAAATTCCTATGGAGACTATTTATCATCACAGCAGAAATGAAAGCATCCTGAAATGAAAATGCAGACCTTAAGTCAGAGTGTCTGATTATCTAGGTAGTATGATGTGCATTTAGTGTGGGGACTTGATCTTTGACTCTCAAAGTAAAGGCCCTGGGCCAGCAACATCACTGTCACCTGAAATATGAAAATCTACTCCATATCCACTGAGGAAAAGAGGAAGCAGCCATATATATTGTCTTAACCTACAGGTGATTTTCATATGCAGTTTAGTTGGAGAACCTCAGGAATAGGTGACTCCTATTGTATTAAATCACCAAAATGTTACTGTGTAGAGATGAATGCTTCACTTACCAGTGTCATATCTAGCAGTCTGAATAAAACAGCACAACTAAGAATAGCATATTCTTGATTTTTAAACCTGTAACATTTCGCAGAGGAATTTCTATTGGCACACTTTCTGCCATTAAGCAGGCACTGACAAACATTATCATTTTAATAAACAGTAGTCATCTCCAAAATCAATCTTGGTTCTCTTCACATTTATAGAGCAGGATATTTTATGATAATGCAGCATAGGGATTTCACATCTACTTCTTCAAATCCTGCTCCACATAGCTTTTTCTCACTTTCCATCATCCAGAAGATAGAGTGATAACAAAACTCCCCAAGCAGTTCAAGTAAAGGAGACAATTGGGACTCTCACCCAATGGAAGTATGCAGTAGTCACAGTATGAAGCCTTTAAAGACTAACTTCAAATAGACCTGGTTTCTCAATGTGACTCAATGAACAATCTGAACCGTTAGGATGGAAAGTACTTACCTGACAATCTAAGTGTGAGACGTGAGCAGACACTGAGAACTTTAGCTTTCCTGAGTTTACAAAGGAACAAACGTGCTTGGAAAACCTGCCTGGCTGTCAGGGACTCAAAAGTGGTTCCAACAAACAAACACAAAACCCACAAACCCAGTAGGGGGTCAAGTTTAATAGTTTTCATTCCCTCTGGAAGAGCCTCCCCCCCACGCCTCCCAATTTGTTTTGACAGATGATTACCTTAAAACAAACCCCACCCTCCCTGACTCACTTCCTAGAGCAGTTAAACCAGCCCAACTTTCTTACTGCAACAAATGCTTTTATCTCTTCACACCACACTAGATGAGATTCTTCCTAGCCAAATCAACTTTCATACTTAACATTTCTTCTTAAAGAGAGAAAGACTTAAAAATTTCTATTTTGCCATGAATATAACAGGTGAAAGCCAAACAACTCAGACCTCCATTTTCCTGCAGCAGCTTTAATTTTACAATCCAAAAGCATTTATTTTACAGTACTCGGTAGAAACATGTTTTAAAAAAGCCTGTCCTGCCTTTTATGACCTCTACAAAGCCCTCTGTGGAGGTGATTAATGCACCAGCAATCTATTTCACTGTCCACCTTCAAATATTTTCTGTAAGGAGTACGTACATTTCTTATGAGCCATGTACTTGGCAATGCTTTTGTCCAAACCCTTCCAAATCATGACAAAAGAGGGTCACCAAACACACTAAAAAAAAAAAACAAAAAAAAAAAAACCCAAAAAACAAAAACAACCTTCCAACAGGGCTTGACACATCTTCAAAATGTGCATCAACTTTAATCTATTTAAGCAACCACATTTATTCAAATATAAGAATAAATTCTTGTAAAAACATTATCTTGAGCAGTTTCAATTTTTATACTTTGAAACATTGTGTTTGATACTAATGGAGAAATCAGATCAGAGTTGGGAAATGGACAAAGGCCAAGACAGGCAAAACTCTTCTCCCTCCCCAATGGAATAGTGAAATGCAACCTGAATGGAGACGAAAAAAAAAATTAAGGCAAGATATATTGATATCACTTTAAAGAAACCTGTGATCTCTTTTGGCTTTGTCAAGGAGTAAATTCCTGGCTTAAGACTCCTCAGACTTCAGCTCTGCCTCACGAACCTATGAATGCTATAATCTCTTACAGAGAAAAATAGACATAAAAAGTAACAACACACTTTGACTCCTATTTTTTTTTCTTTTGAAAGAAACAATTATTGTGGTCCAATATGATCCACAAACTAATGAGAGCAAGGGAATTCTCTTTACATGGTTTATTTTTTGTTTGTTTGTTTTCAATATAATGAGGTGGTTCCAAATAAAAACTTTGGAAGGGTTGAAATAATAGCTCGGGTAACGCACTCCATACATTGCTGAGTACACTGTGTGTGAGAACAAAGTTAAGAACACTTCTGACTTGAGGTGTGACACAAACAGACAAAACAGAACCATGACAACTAGAAGGTACCCCCCTATTCTCCCAGATGGATGCTACTCTCCCAGACCCAGGAGGGTTTAGCAGTGGGCTTCTTCCCTTTGTTACAACAGTGAACAAAGTTCACTGCACTTCCTCAGCATAGAATCAATACACTTCCTCTTCTGGGGAGTCACATGGTATGGTCATACCCTGTGATTCTTAGGCCTAGGTAATTTTCTCCATTAAAAAAAAAAAAATTGGAAATACTGTCACCCAATTTGTCACTGAAATAATTCTATCTTCAAAATTTGACAAATAACTCCGGAAGGCATCATGTATCTGGCCCTGTCCACCACCACCTGACAGCATTATCACAGATATTGTAAATCAATGAATATGAAACACAAAAACACAAATAGTTTGGGGTTTCTTTAAAAATGACATTTGTATTAAAAGTCTTAAAATGAAGAGACAACGACTAAATGAGTGGAATTAAAAGTTACAATTTGTTAGAATTCTCTTGGTACATCACAACAATAAAATTCTGCTCTTTGCTTCTGGAGGACACCCTGCAACAAATAACGCAGACACTCTGATAACAACAGAAAGGGGAGCTAAAACCTGAAATTTGCACAAAATGAAGGGGAGAAAATTTCCAGACACGGGCTTAACATTTAAAAAGCTAAAATTAATGAAGCAACTCAATGGACTAACAGGCCCCATTTGTCCTGGCTCTTTCAGGAAGATATTTAAAGTGGTTTGGGGGGCAGCAGAACAGCAGATTCTGGGATATGGTGGGAATTCACAGGTTGGCACCGGCTGGAACAGCTGAGTTTGAAGGCACTCTGCAGACACAGGGGTGCTGGGGGCCCTGAATCACATTTACAAAGTCTTTGTATTGTATTTTTAAAAGCTAGTCAGCAAAATCTGTCGCTGCCAACCACAAAAAAAAAAAAAAAATGCTATACTTACACACACACAATAGCACACACACACACAATAGCATACGCACACGCACACAATAGCACACACAAAAAAAATGTGCAGATCTTTTAACATTTTTTCACAGCTGATTAAAAAAAAATACTACCATTCTTCCCCAGACTCCCCTTTGATACAGTAGGTAATCAAAATAGATTTTTTTTTCCCACAAATATCAGCAGACACTTCCTGGCACCCCACACTGTATTGGCATCAGTGTTAACAGTCCCAGTTCACATGTGCAATACTTCAGATTGGATACACTGTAACAAGAACCCAACTTTGCATAGACATCCTCAGAATCCTAATCAGTCCCTGGGTTGCCCTTCCAAGCTGGCAGAAAAGGAACCCCTGGTCTTAATTTCCAAATAATCCTGGAAAAACAAGGGGAAAAAAATAAAACAAAAAACAAGTTTCTTCCCCTTCTCTGGCTCCTTCATATGGTTTTCTCAGACCTCCTTCCTTGTATTTAGAACTTGGAATATGAACAGTTGTTTGGGCGAACCCTCCCCCACTTCCTCCACCTCCCCACCCCCATTTTTTTTTCAGGCTTGAAACTTTTGCTTGCCGGTGTCAAGCAGCCAATACTGCGCTTTAATGGCCACTTAAACGGGAAAATTATGCATGAACCGAAATCAATGAGGAACGTACACGCGGTAAAGAGCCACATTTCCATCAGGGTCTTGGATGGTCAGGAACCGACACCCCCTCGGACCCCGGCTGAAGGCTGGGGATGCTGGCCACGCAAGTCAGCCAGATTCCTCGGACATCCCGGCCAACACAAAGTCGTCTCCAATCTCAAACAAGAAGACAATCACATTAAGAGAATCGGGTGTGTTTGGCTTTGTGCACAGAGCATGGCCAGCGCCCGGCAGCAGCCGGCGCCTCACAGGATCACGCAGGCCGAGCAGCAGCCCTCGTCGCCGTTGGGCTGCGCCGCGTAGTTCATCTGCCGAACGATCTCTGCGAACAGCTCATCCACTGAGGCTTTGTTTTTGGCGGATGTCTCCATGAAGGGGCAGCTCCACTCCTCGGCCAGGGCCTTGCCCTCTCCGTATGAGACCTCGCGCTCGCCCTCCAGGTCCACCTTGTTGCCCACCAGGATCATAGGTACGCGCTCGTACCGCTTCACGCGGATGATCTGGTCCCGCATGGGCTTGATGTCCTGGAAGCTCTGCTGGTTGACCAAGCTGTAGACTAAGATGAAACCCTGGCCATTCTTGATGTACAGGTCCCGCATGGATGCGAACTGCTCGGTGCCCGCGGTGTCCAGGATCTCCAGCACCGACGGCGACGAATCCACTTCAATCTCCTTGCGGTAGAAGTCCTCGATGGTTGGGTCGTACTTCTCGATGAAGGAACCTGTCACGAACTGCACCGTGAGCGCGGACTTGCCCACGCCTCCCGAGCCCAGCACCACCACTTTGTACTCTCTCATGGCTCCGTCGGCGCCCTC